GGAAGCTTCTGCAGAGGCTGGCCTGCAGCCATGGCAAACAGCTCCACTCTGAACACCATCTAGTTTGTGGCTCTGTTGCAGACATGTCTTGAGTGAGTGTCGGTGTATCTGTTCTTCAGGGTGCATCCATGAGTCTGGGGCGGTTTCTAGAGCAACACTCTAGTTTGCTGATTGGGATGGGGTGGTGGCAGGAGCCTGATTGGAATGCAGGCTGTTTTTTTTTTTTTTTTAATTTTTTTTAAAAAAAGACTTATTGATCATGTATTCGGTGTTCTGCCTGCACGCCAGAAGAGGGCACCAGATCTCATTATAGATGGTTGTGAGCTACTATGTGGTTGCTGGGAATTGAACTCAGGACCTCTGGAAGAAAAGCCAGTGTTCTTAACCTCTAAGCCATCTCTCCAGCTCTGCAGGCTGTCCTCTTAAGCCACAAGGATACTGGGTTCAGGGCATATATTTGTTTCCTGAAAGTATCCCGGAACTTTCTCTCTACTCCAGTGGCCAGTTTTAGGAGTGGCACAGGACAAGTTCCCATGTGTCCCAGAGCTTGACCAGTGACCCTTAGACCCTGGCCAGGTTAGATCTTGGGTGGGGCGGGAGGCAGGGCTCTGCACCAGCTCACAGACCTGTATTTCCTAACTGCATTAGCACCATGAGGTTGTGGGCATGGATGTCCCAGTGGCACAGCTCCTGGCTGGTATGTGATGTCATTAACCAGTTTTATGCGGCTTGCCTGGCATTTCCCATATGGCAAACAGTGCAGGTCTGGGGACAGTATAATAATCTCTGCTGGATTGGTAGCTTAAGACCCAGCTGCTCAGAAATGTCTTTACTCTCATCTCCCAAAGGACACCTGTGACCCCAGGAGAATAAGATGTCAGGACCTGTAATACAGAGCATGGGGGTCTGGGGCAAGAGGATGGCAAGAGTAAGACCCGAATGGATCACAGAGTGAGTTCCATTAGTGATACTTAGGTTAATTAAAAGGTAAAAGGAGCCCAGATGTAGCTCAATGGCAGTTCTTGCCTCGCATGCACAGAACCCTGGGATCAATTCATAGTACTATGCAAGACCAGGTGTGTCTGTAGTTCCAGCATTGGGAGGCTGAGGCAGGAGTATCAGGAGTTCAAGGAGGCAGAGGGAGGAGAGCGGGGGTAGGACAGATGCATACAATCGGGGTGATCTAAGTGAACTGATAGAGAAGTGGGAAATGACGTTGACATCCCAGCTGGACAGTATTTTTATTGTTGTTTTGTTTTTTGGCTTTTTGAGAAAGGGTTTCTCTGTAGCATTGGAGCCTGTCCTGGAACTAGCTATTGTAGACCGGGCTGGCCTTGAACTCACAGAGCTCCTCCAGCCTCTGCCTCCCGAGTGCTGGGATTAAAGGTGTGCACCGCCACCGCCCGGCCAGTATTCTGTTCACACCAGCCCTAGGCAGGATCTTGCCATCCCAGAATGTCTTGTTATCCTTTTAGGGCTTATACCTTGAATGATCTGAACTTTGAAATGCCTTTGTTAATGTACCTTGTCAGCTGTGGCTGGGTGTGTTGGAGGGAGTGGACTGTGACCACATCTGTATCTAGCAGCCATCCTTCCAGGCAAGACTAACTACTTTTAAGTTAGTCTTTCTCTGTCTGGATGGAAATTTCACCCATTTTGGTAACCACTAGCCTACCCTGAACCAACTAACTAACTTCCTTCCTTCCTTCCTTCCTTCCTTCCTTCCTTCCTTCTTTTGAGACCAGGTTTTTCTGTGTAGCCTTGGCTGTCCCATAGACTAGCCTGATCTTGAACTCAGAGATACCTGCCTGCCTCTGCCTACTGAGTGCTGGGATTAAAGGTGTGCGCCACCAGACTCTACCCCGGGGTTACAGTGGATCTCTGGATTCTGTGTACACCTGTCCCGCCTTTACACCCATGGGTGGAGGCCCAGGTGCTCTGGAGTCAACTGGGTAGTACTCTCCACTGCCGTTAGTACACGTGTTGATGCAGGTTCCTAATGCCCCTTGCACGGGTGTCTGTGGGGAGAAAACTTGACCAGTTTAGCCCAAGGGACAGGATGAATCCCCTGCACCACTGGAGAGGGGCTTCTGGCTCCAGAGGGGCCTCTTGGTGTTAGTGGTGTTTCGTACTACTGTGCTGCTGTCTTGTTTTGAGCTTTTAAGGGGAAGCCACCTGGTACCACAGTGAGGGAAAGCAATGTCTTTTAAATCTTGTTTTCTTTGCTTGTTGCTGTTCTATGCCTGTGTGCCAGGTGCCTTATTTAAACTTCAGAAGTGCTACAGAGTAGTTAAGGTTGTTCCCATGTAACAAGTGAGGGGATGTGGTTAAAAAGCCTTGCAGAAAGTACTTGATCAAGGTCAAGGCTACTGAGGAGCTGTCCTGGGTGCACAGCCTGGCCAGCGTGGGGGGGGGGGGTGCTGTGCATGCAACCTAGAACCTTAACTTTAACCTGCGCCTTCCAGTCACTCAGGCGCTAACCTGCAAGTCCTCTGACCTATTTAACCTCCCCCTCACCCCCATTTTCCTCCCCTCTTGTCTCACTGAGAGCTTGTGTTCCTGTTCTGGAGCTCTCGGTCCTCCTCCCAGCCTCCTGAGTGCCAAGCCTGCAGGCATGCCTCAGGCTGTGCCCAGGGTCTTAGGGAAGGTCCTTTCCCTTTGTGGCCCTGACATACTTTATACAGTTAGTTTATGCCCACAACTGAGATACAATACCCAGAGATTTTTCCTACGGCCTGGAAAGTAGGAAGAGATACACCGCTTTCCAATAAAAGTAGGTTAAAATGTAATTAGGGGCCCAGGGCCTGCCTCTGCCAAGAGGAGCAGGGACTGGCATCCTCTTCAGCAAGAGCAGCGTAGCACCCTTGTGAATGGGCACGGCAGCTGTGTGCACAGAGCACCTCCCTACCCTGATGTGCTAAGCCCTCTCCTGGGATAAGCGGAGGCTTACTTGACCCTTACTGAGCATCTAGGGTGAGTTTTGGGTGGTGCTCGTTGCTAGGTACTTGGTAAACATTACCTTCTGGATCTATTAGCACACCCCAAGGTGTAGGCTGGGCCACTTGCTTTTTGAGATAGGGAGACTGGCCCAGAGCGGTCTGGTTGGCAGACTGGGCCTCGCTTTTATGTTTCAATGGCCTCCTTGCATACCTCTCCCAGACTAGACACCCTTGGGTCAGGGGTCAAGGACACCGTTGTTGCTGTAGCCCCATCTCAGTAGTCTCTACTGAGTGAGTTTTAGGCATTTGTGGGATGGACTGAGGTTAAGTAACCTTTCCAGACAGGTGTGCAGTGATGAGACCCTTAGATTTGTAGGACTTTGGACTGTGACCCTGTAATCAGGGTGGGCTCTGATTTAGGCACTTAGCACTAAGCCAGGTGGATACAAAATGACAGGTACCAGCTTATTTGTATTCCATGATTATTACAGCTCTGATCTGAAGCCACTCAAATATCCACGAAGAAGGGCCTGGGGAAGAACAGTGGCCATCCACAGGACAGGGAACCATCTGGCTACAAAGAAAAAGGGTTGGTGGTGGTCTAGGATGGTAGCTCAGTGGTAGAGCATTTGCTTGGCATGCATGAGGCCTCCGGTTCAATCTACGGTGCTGCCAGGGAGGCTGCTGGGTGGGGTTTTGTTACTGAAACACAGTAGAGCTCACGCTGGCCTCATGATTCTCTGCCTCAGGCTCCCGAATGCTCAGGTGACAGGAATGTGTTACCATGCCCAGCCAAGGCAGATGGTGAGCTCGATGAGAAAAAGCAAGACAAAAGTCAGTGTTATAGGCTAGTTTGGGGGTAAAGGAGAGAAAAATGATTCCAGAATTTACCCATGAAATCTAGACACACCCTGGATATAGATAGGTGCAGTAGTTACTGGGCTAACAGAGGGTGGTGATGGGAGGGGTCACTGAATTATCTTATTGTCTGATTCTGAAACCAGGAAGATTAATGTATTACTAGATGATGATGATGATGATGATGATGATAAACACCTGGAAAACGGGCAACAACAAAGAGTGGTTTTGGGGCCAGATATTCTATTGTAGATCATACAGCTTCTTTTTGGTTTTTGTTTTTTGAGACAGGGCTTCTCCGTGTAGCTTTGGTGCCTGTCCTTGAACTAGCTCTTGTAGACCAGAGGAACTCAAAGAAATCTGCCTGCCTCTTCCTCCCAAGTGCTGGGATTAAAGGCATGCACCACCACCACCTGGCTGATAATGTAGCTTCTTAAGTCCTTATGGGAACACCTTGGCTGATCCTTCCATGATTCTCAGGAAGTTTGAGTAAGGCTGCCGTTGCACATAGCAAAGAGCCTCCTTCAGAGTGTCCTTTGTCTCTATCCCCCAACACACCACCATGGTGTAACTCAGTTGGTTCTTTTCCCAACTGAGTGACGTGAAGGATACAGTGAAGGCTGTTCCAGAGCATTCTAGCTGCCATATAGTGGGAAAGTAAAAACCACAGGATGTTTTCCCAGGTTATTTTTAATGCCTTTTTGATCAGCAAACATTTACTGAGGGGGCTAATCACAAGGAGGAGTAGGGGACTCGGTGTAGAGCGCCTCCTCTCTTCTAAGGTGCAGCATCTTGCTTGGTAAGGAACATGCTTGTGAAATGGATTGTAGTAATGCCAAGCACAGCATGGCTTCCCGGGTGCCTTCCCACCTAGCGTCTGGCCTGGTTCTGTGGATTCCTGTGGGGTATAGATTCTTCCTCCCATTGTCATAGTGAACACACCGAGTTCATGAAGTTCTGGCCTGGGGATGTAGCTCAGTTTGTAGAGTTTGCCTAGCCTGCCTGAAATTGGAGTCATTCTCCAGCACAACTTAAAACGGGTACACACCTGAGTTCCTAGAACTTGGATGGTAGAGGTAGGAGGATCGGAAGTTGAAGATCATCTTCAATTGCCATAGAGAGTTTATGACTAGCTGGGCTACACGAGACCCTGTCTCAAAAACAGCAAACAAAAAATGTCTCAGTTCTTTTTTTTTTTTTTAATTTATTTCTTACATATACAGTGTTGTGCCCATATGTGTACCTGCAGACCAGAAGAGGGCGCCAGACCTCATTACAGATGGTTGTGAGCCACCATGTGGTTGCTGGGAATTGAACTCAGGACCTCTGGAAGAACAGGCGGTGCTCTTAACCACTGAGCCATCTCTCCAGCCCAATGTCTCAGTTCTTAAGTGGAAAAGCCCGGAGCCAAACCAGACTACGTCTCGTTGTCCCTGTGCTAATAATCAAAGCGGCATTCCATAGGCTGTCTCCCACTAATACCAGAAAACATGGCCATTTGCGGCCCACAGTAAAGTCCCTTCGCTCATATGCCGTGGAGCAACCGTGGAGGTCACAGGACAGCTTGTCTGGGTCAATTCCCTCCTTTACCATGTGGGGGTCCCGGGAATGAACTCAGTTCATCAGGTTAAGTACCTTTTACCCACTGAGCTATCTCACCAGGCCTCCCTTCACAAATGCTCTTATAGCTTCCCAGCTGCCCAGCAGAGCCAAACACGCTTCCTACTGAGAGTTCCGGCCGTGGCTGCTCCTTCCACTGTTAAGGGCCCTGATTACATACTGTGGGGTTCAAGTCTGTACAGAAAACACACCTTGGATAGATTTTTTTAGCTGCTCTCAACACCGTCCCTTGCCACTCTTGCTTGTCTCTTTCCGTTTGAGCTGCCCTTGTAAATACAGGTGTACACAATCACTGGCTTAGTACCTGGTCGTCGCCTCACCCCCCAAGGCGAACATGTAGGAGAGCAGGCACCACATGGGTTTTCTGCTGTGCCAACCTTACCACCTCACACGCTGCCTGGCATACTGTAGCCACTCATTAAAGACTACCGAATGAGTGACTGGGCCTGTGGTCTAAGCAGGTAGCCCTCCTTCAGAGGAAAAGCAAGGCAGTGGTTTTAGAAGTGAAAAGGCCCTCGGCACCAGCTTCGCAGAACTTCAGGATACCGCGCCCGTCCTTCTGATAGGAGTTCGGCACAGATTGTGTGCGGAGCTCTTCACGGATGGCTGCTTAGCATCCTTTGATTGTTGGGGGTCTCCAGCCTTCCAGCCTCGGCATCCCTGTTTCCTTCAACTGTCCAGCGCCCTGGTTTTCACATACCTTCCCATCCTAATTGCCTTCTTCCTTCCAGCCTACTCTTGAGGTTCTGGAATTTAAGCTTTGGTCTTTTGGTGCAGCTGGAGTTGGGACGTTACCACCAATGAACCGTGATTTTTTTTTTTTTTAAGGTTTTCTTAGATTTTTTTGTGCTCAAACATGGGCGTCGTGGTGTGCACGTGGCGGTCAGAGGACGACTTGCAAGTGTTGGTTCTCTCCACCTGTGGGCTTCAAATATCAAACTCAGGTCATCAGGCTTGGTGGCTGAGGTCCCCCTCCTCCCAAATCCTTGGTACTAGAGCTTGAACATAAGGCGTGCTAGTACATGCTAGGCAAGCACTGCACTAGTGAGCCACGCGTCCCGCCCATGCCCATTCCTGCGCCCGAATAACTTTGTCAGTGTGGGCTGCTGTGCTGGGGTGGGTGGTGGGGCTGGTGCTCCCCAGGAACTGACCTCCTGAGTCTTATCAACTACCTCCAGCCTGTCTCCACCTATCTTATCCACCTATCTCTAGCCCCTCCTTGACTCTCAAAGAGTCCCGAGTTGTAACATTTTAGGTTCTTTATTTTGTTTTTGTTTTTTTTTTTTTAATTTTAAGATTAAAGCTAATGTAGATCTGTGAACAACAGTTTTTTGTTTGGTTGGTTAGTTTTTGAAACAGGGTTTCTTTGTATAGCTCTGGCTATCCTAGAACTCATTCTGTAGATCAGGCTGTCCACGAATTTACAGATGTCCGCCTGCCTCTGCCTCCCAAGTGCTGGGATTGAATGTGTGTACCACCACTGCCCTGGCTCTGTGTTCTATTAAAATAATTAAGTATAGGTCAGGTTCCACCAGCAAGACCAGGGGAAGAGAATGGTACTCTTGACGCTAAACCAAACCTGCATTGCCTGGTTTGGCTTAGCTGCCCCTTCCTCCACCTCCCTCCCGCTTTGCCCCCACTTCTCTCCCTCCTCTTTTCCGCTCGCTCCCCCTCTTCTCTGCCAGGGTTTTTACCATAAGTATTTGATTTGTCCACTTAGGCGAGTTGAGTGCATCCTGTAAGGCTGAAGGAGAAACAGTTGATTGGTTCCCTTCTTATTAACTGGTGAGGTTCTTCTGCGTGGTTGGTCTCCACGTCATTCGTTCCCTACCGAAGGGCCCTGCTCCGCTCCTGTGATTGAGGAGGCTGCCAGGTCTGAAAGAGGTGACAGGAAGGAAGCCAGGGCCAGGCTTCTTCTCTTAGGCTCTTTGGCATCTCATGCATTTCCATGCCAGTTAAGGTATCTAAGGCCTGGCTGGGGGCCTCCCCGCCTAGAGGAGGGCTAGGTTGGATCTCTGGGTATTTCCCTTCCCATCCCTCTTATTTGCCTCCTGTTTCCTCTTGCTTCAAGGAGGTCCCCCTGGACGGGACTGTCTTTGCCTCTGAGCCTCAGGCTGAGAGAAGAGAAATCCCAGGTTTTCTTCACTGGCTGACACTGATCTTCACACATACCACAGGGTGGTTTCAAACTCATTGGGCGGCTGAGGCCAGTGATGGCCTTGACCTCTGATTCTCCCACATCTACTGCCAATGCTAGGGCTGGAGGCATTTCACCTGGTATGGCTTATTCGGTGCTGGGGATCAAACCCAAGTTTTATGCAATGCTACCGCCTGAGCTACAAGTCCACCCCTGAAACATTTGTTTGTTTTGTTTAAAGGTCAACTGGAAATGGGGTCGATCTCCTCACCAAGGCTTCTGTGCCCTGGCCTCTGAGTCTGAATGGCTTCATGCCTTTTGAGATGAGTCATGACAGGGTCATGATGGGCAGAATCACTAAGTTGCCAGGGAAACTGGGGAAATGACCTTATTTGTGTTGTGCGGTCAGCATCTCCAGGTAGAAGCCCTAGGGAGGATGCCGAGGGCCTTCCTCAGCACCCACCCTTGGGTCCACTAGAGGTCCCAGCATCACTATTTCAGCAGCTAGTCACTGGCATCCTTCAGCTGGTACAGTTGGTCTGCCCTTGAGTGGTCCTAGTGGAATGTTTTGCCTCAGACGTTGGGGAAGGGAGTAGTCATCTAGAAACGTCTCAAGAATGATTGCCCAGTATGCTTAAACCTTTTTCCGGCCTGAGTGGCTTGTTCCCATGTGAGCGCTCAGTGAGTATGAACTGGACAGGCTCTTGGGAAGGGTAGGGGAGGTAGAATTCCTGTGATATGCAATGCCAAGTGGTGTCACCATGTTTTGCTGTAGAGGAGAAGGGCAGACACAGCTGTCTTGGAAAGAGAGGTGAGGTTGGGGGCCTGGGAATCCTGCTCTGGGTTTGAACTTGATCTCCATGGCCATTAAAGACTTTGGGGGGAATAATGAGCCGCGAGGTAACATCACTGTATCTGCCCCAACCCAACCCTCCTGAACCCAGCTTTTCTATTGCATGGGGAACAGTGCTGTGGCTCTTTAATAAGAACTTATCATCCACCATGGATTTTATCAGGAATCCGAGTGTTGGTGAGTGGAAGTGGTTCGTGCCCATTCCCCTTACCTTAAGAGGGGCACAGGTGAGATGACTGACAGGCTCCCATATTTAGAGCCCCACACCCTGGGCCTCTGGGGGCTGTTTTTGTAATCTTGGTGTGTTGAAAGAGTCTAGCTGATGTATTTCTCCGTTTTAGTTTTTATCTAGAATAATGAACAGTCTTGCATCTTTGCATGCTGAACCTGAGCTCTTCTGTCCCTGAGGTCTCATGCCTCCTTTAGGATGCCCTGTCAGAATTTAGATGTAGAGGGAAAGAATACCAGGCCTTCAAAGTTCGGATCAGAAGGGCTTCATCTTTCTCTATTCATGCCCCACTACCCAGTGTGTAGTCTGAAGGATGGGGCAGAAGCTCAGAGTGGGCAGCAACTTCTATGAGGGCACACAACAAGTTCAGAGACACAGCAGGGGCAGAAGCCAAGTTAAGAGGCTGCCTGTAAACTAGCCCTTCTTTTTCTGGCTGCCTGGACTAGTGCTCTCTTCCTATATTCCAGACCACACAGAAAGACAGGAAGGTAATTCAGAGAATGCAGCCTGCTAGGTTTGGTCATCACCTCTGACTTTCTGTACCTCTCTCCACCCCATCTTTCTTTCACCGCGGTACCCTCGCCCAAACCAAAGTCAGACCCCTAATTCCTTCTTCCCTTCAGACCCCACAGCAGCCCTCTAGGCTGTTTCAGGTTTCTCTGGTAACTTTCTGTTACCTGAAAGTCAGTCACGACAAGGGCAGGGCCAGACAGCCAGGAAGGAAGGTTTGGTTGAGATGGAAAGCAGGAACGATGCTTTAAGAGAAAAAATAAAAGGGATTGGAGAAATGGCTCAACAGTTAAGAGCGCTTGCTGCTCTTGTAGACTCCCAGGGTTCGGTTCCCAGAACCCACAAGTGGCTCACCAGTTTCAGAATATCCAACGACCTCTTCTGGCCCCAACGGGCACGGGGCGCGCACACACACAGTATGCAAGCAAAACACATTTAAAAAAAAAAATCTTAAACAAAGATAAGAGGGGAATGCAAAGGCGCAGTATCCGGGCTGGGGCAGAAGGTAGACATCCTCTTGAACAAGCCTGGCCTTGCACCAGGGCCTCCAGGTACCACCACCAAGCCCTTTCCACTGAGAGAAAGCGTCCCCAGCACCGACTCCGGCGGTAAGTGGAGGCCCAAGTCACCCTACTGCGCGCGGGGTGGGGGGTGAGGAGGGAGCTAGTCACGGGGCTGGCGGGCTGGTGCGGTCGGGCCCGCCCAGCCTGCTGAACCTATGAGCCGGCCCGATCTCCCTCGGCCCGCCCTCCCACCTCCCAGTAATGAGGATGGCGTCACCGCTGCCCGTGCCACGTGCTCCCCCGCTGCCTGCCGAGCTGCTTTGTACGCAACAGCAAAAACCCAAGCCAGGCCCCCCCCCCCCCCCCCCCGCAGAGGCTTTCAATTCTTAGGGAGGTTTTGTTTGTTTGTAAAGCGGGGAAGGACCTTTCCCCTAGCTACGACTACGCACGATCTTGAGAGGCGTGGAGACCCCAAGCCCAGGCTGCCACCGAGGCTGCAGGGAACTCCAGCCTCGGGAGCTTGGTGGATGGGCCGTGGGTGCCTTTACTTTCTGCCAGGGGCTGTGATTCTGACGTAGGTCAGGTGTCCATGCATGGTGTGGCAGAAAAGAAAAAACTGCCCAACCCAGAGTTCCTTGCGTTCTCTGCCCAGCTCTGCACCTGGGTCCTCCGCTAAAACAAGGACTCTTTAAACCGCTCAACAATCGATCTCTCTCGCCCACCTCCCCGACTGTGGGCCCATAATAAGAGGGCTGAAGAGATGGCTCAGAAGTTGAGAGCACTTGCTGCTCTTACGGAGGGCCTGGATTCTGTTCTCAGCACTCAGGGTACCCTGTAGCTCCTCCAGGAGGCCGTTTGCCCTCCGCAGGCTCCGCTGCACCTGCGGTCTTCACTCCCAGAAACATATAAATAAGAAATAAGGTTCAAAAAATTAATAGATGAAATCCTAAGTGTGGTGTTTGTTTTCAGTGTGTGTGCTTATACACCCACAAGAGCACGCTTTGAATCAAGTGCGTTTTGTTTTGCTTTTTAGATTTATTTGTATAAAGTGTGTGTGTGTGTGTGTGTGTGTGTGTGTGTACACATATACAGGTGCCTGGGGAGACTAGAGAGAATAGGTCATCTAATCCACCCTCCTCTCCAGCTGAGTTACAGGCTCTGACCTTGTGTGCTGGATACCAACGAAATGCTGGCCTTCTTTCTACAAGAGCAGCAAGTGCTTCTGAACCATCTCTCTAGCCCCTAAAATGTATACCTTGCAGTGGTTGTGAGCAGAAAGCCAGTGGCCTCTGGGCCCTACGATCCTGTAGCTTCACAAATATCTCACTTCTTCTCCAGAGCGGTGTCCCTCCCTCGTGGAACCTGACTGAGTTTTGTAGGTTTTACCGCGCTGCTTAGTAAACAGAGTTTACCGTTAAAACAAACGCAGGCATACTTCTATTATCTCTGTCTAAACCTCGCTGACTCATGCGATCTGGCCTTCTAGCTAGAAACGGGATCTGCAACAGGGGATGGCCCATTTAAAAGCTGACCTAGTTAAAACCCAGGAGCACCACAAAACACAGGGTCAATTTGATTTGAGTCTTCTCTTCTGTTCGAAGCCTGGAACTTGGAGCCTAAATTGGTCAGTGTTAGGTTGGGAGCCCCTAACAGTCAGGGACTGATAAAGTTGAAACGAAAGCTACATATATTTACCCAATTATTTCTCAGTAAAGGAAAGGAAAAGCATGACTGGAGGTTGGCATAGAAAACCAGGCAAAACAAGATGTAGAGATTGAGCATAGAGGGTGTGTTTGGGGCACTCTGTGCCTCTCCGGATTAGTACGGAAGGCTTGGGATGTTGAGCTAAGAGTCCCCATGGCAGCCGGCTCGGAGGACAGGAACAGGTTGGGTGGGTGCCTTTGTTTCCATACTGGTGGTTTCAATGTGGATACTACACATGTGTGGATACCATAGCAGAACCAGCTGCAGCTACGGTAAAAAGGGATAGGGGGTGGTGAGGTTCTGGGCTAGGACATTAATTGTTTAATCCAGCCCTAGGTGGTTGGCACTAAACTAGAACCCCAGGGAGGTGAGAGGCCAGATCAGCCATTCTCAGCCTTCCTAACTCTGTGACTCCTTAACACAGTTCCTCATGTTATAGTGACCCCCAACCATAAAGTTATTTTGTTGCTACTTCATAATTGTAGTTTTGCTACTATTGTGAATTGTAATGTAAATATCTGTGTTTTCCAATGGTTTTAGGAGACCCGTGTGAAAGGGCCCTTCATCCCGTAAGGGGTCTCGACCCAGAGGTTGAGAACCACTGGTCTAGATTGGAGAATTTGGAGTAGAGCTAGGTCTGTCTGACTACAGAGCCTGCCTTCTGCCCGCCCTCTCTGAGTTGCCACAGAAGTCCGGAAGTAAAGAGCAGCTCTCAAAGTATCCTTCCTCCTGGGTCGTTATTTTTTTGGAAGGCTGTTGCAGATCCAAGCTGTCCAATCAGAGCCACACACAGACTTGGCTGTCATTATCTTTGAGTTTTATGACGTTTTGTTTTAAGACAGAATTTCACATAACCTAGGCTGGTCTCAGAATCACTGTGTGGCTGAGGATGATGTTGAACCCGTAATCCTCCTGTCTCCGTCCAGTTTATGTAGTATTGGGGCCCAAATGCAGGATTTAGCATATGCTAGGCAAGTACTCTATCAGCTTGGCCCTTTCAGTGAGTTTGGAACGAGGGACCCACCTTTTCATTTTGCACTGGTCTGTACTTAGAACACCATTCCTGACTGAGACAGCATCTCCCCTTGTCTTTTTGGGTGTCTCCTGTCTGCCCTCAACGGCCTGTCTTATCTACTAGGGAGTACGTTTGAAGAATACTGAGTCCCTAACTCATCCTCCTACTTGGAACTCTGGGATAGGTCTGTCATCTCCCAGCATGCCACCCACCACTGCTCTTTCTGGCAGACTCCTCCCCTACCCCCCATCTGGGTTCACCATGGCTTCTGTGTCCCTTCAGCCAACAATGTGGCAGGAGTCGAGGGAGAACCGGAGGCCTGTATGTGAGTGAGTGCTGGACCAGTTTGGTAGGGTAGCGGCAGATGAGCTCCCAGGGCTGGGGCCTGTCTGGCATAGGCAGCCAGAGCCGAATGTAAGGAAGAGTTCATGCAGCCGTGGTTTCCACCGGTTACAGCACACCGTTTATGCTCCGTGTGTCGGGGCTGTTTGGCCCCCTCTCTTTTGCTACTCCCATTATTTATATTGTGCCTGGCCCAATAAGGGGGGCATTTGCTAAGCGGTGCTGTGGTGTGCATTCCCGCTAGGCTGATTATGGGGAAGGACAGTCTCTGACCTCTAGGAGGATCAGATGCTTAATACACGATTAAATGATTCATGCAGCAACTGCCTCTGAGCTCAGAGCCTAGCCCGGGTGCTCAGTGCCAGTTACAAGGATGGCTTCCTGGGAGGGGGGGACTTGAACTAGATTTGGGTGCAAGGGCAGGTGATTGGGGGGAGGCTTCTAGGTCACATTTAGAAACTTGAACATTTTCCCAGACTTTATAGGTTAAACAGATGTCACCGTCCCTTTTCTAAGGCGATAGGAGCTTGGACTCCACAGAACAAAGATGGTATCACTGAGCCCAGATTAGGGGTCTCGTATCCAGGGTAAGGTCTGTTACCAGTAGACCAGGCTATCACCTAACCACATCCTCCACTGAGGTCACAGCCTTCTAGTGTGAAGTAGCGTGGTGGCAGTGACCGGGGCCGCAGTGTTGGAAATGTAGAAGAAAGGTCACATCTGAGAAATAAATGTGTAAAGACAGCTTCGGTGGCTTTGAAACAAACAAGTTCTTGAGCCGAGTGAGTGTTAGTGTTTATCATGAAATTTGGCTCCCATTGGTGAGAAACGATGGCAAAACCAACCGGGGGCGGGGGGGCAACAAGTTGTGTTTTGTTTTATTTTATTTTGTTTTTTTTGTTTTGTTTTTTTTTGGCACTAGCTCTTGTAGACCAGGCTGGTCTCGAACTCACAGAGATCCGCCTGCCTCTGCCTCCCGAGTGCTGGGATTAAAGGCGTGCGCCACCACCACCCGGCTTTTATTTTGTTTTTTTAAGAGCAGGGGAGCAAGGGCAGGCTGACTTCTGGAGAATCTGGTGCCTCCCTGCTGCCAGCAGGATGTGAGTGCCAGTCTCCTCCTGGGTGTGACCTCTGGGGGAATGGAGATTGCCTCCTGCCTGGGTCTGGAAGGCCCTGTATACGCGGAGTAATAATTCTGGTCGCAGGGCTACTGAGAGCAACCAACTGCTTCGGGATGTTTTAAAAAACAGCTGGTGGAACTGGGAGGGCATCTAAACCCAAAGTACAAATTTCCAGTTTAATTTTAACTTGTAGCTCGTGCACACTCGGGACTTGGCAAGGGAAGTGGGCCTTTATTTTATTTATTTATTTATTTATTTTTTTAAAGCGCAGCACACCCTGAATACAAAAGGGATTTTCTCCTCACATGGAAGGGCTAGCGAAGAGGCTGCCAAGTATGGAGGAAGTGGGTTGGAAATGATAGCAGCTGCAGGGTGGGTCCCCTTGCTCGCAGGCCTTAGAGAGAGCAGGGGGACAGCTAGATGATTCACACAGGGGACTGTGGCTGCACTTTTTTTTTGTCCCATTTGACCCACTTCTCAGGCAGCTCACCTGCCTATCTCACTGTGAGCCTGTGTGGCCTGGGCTTCTGCAGAATACTGAAACCCTAGGGTCTATATCCTGGCCCCCCATCTTACTTCCTGAACTGTGCAGGGCACCCCTCCCTCCCTGTCGGAAAGGAGGTGCCGACTACCTGAGAGTTTCCCAGATGGAGTGGAAGCAGCCCTACTCCTTGGGGGACCCCACACCCTACCAGCGGGGAGCAGTGGGAAAGAGTACTCAGCCATCTGAGCCATGGCCAGGTTGAGCTCCGCACCTTGGGGGCTGAGGGGGTAAAAGTGGTTCCCACCCAGCTGGTGAAACAGGAAAGGGCTGAAGGGAAGCCATTAGCCATGGGAGCCTGTGGAGTGTATCTGGGCAGCCATGTGCCCTAAACCTCGGAATGTCAGAGATGCTTCAGGGGAG